CTCCAATGTTAATACCAACTTATCCATGCTAGTCGCTAGCCTCTCCAATGTTAATACCAACTTATCCATGCTAGTTGCTAGCCTCTCCAATGCTAACGCCAACTTATCAATGCTAGTTGCTAGCCTCTCCAATGTTAATACCAACTTATCCATGCTAGTTGCTAGCCTCTCCAATGCTAACGCCAACTTATCAATGCTAGTTGCTAGCCTCTCCAATGCTAATACCAACTTATCCATGGTAGTTGCTAGCCTCTTCAATGCTAACACCAACTTATCAATGCTAGTCACTAACCTCTCTGATGCTAACGCCATTTTATCCATGCTTGTTGCTAGCCTCTCCGATGCTAGAGCAAGTCTCCTTCTCATTCCCACTGAGCAAGGATACGTCTAACGACGTCTTTTCAACGTCATTTTTGGACGTCTAAATTTGGTCCCTCGCAGGTGCAGACTGTGACGCCAGAAGACATCTTTTTTTTTTACGTCTGTCAAATGTCTAGTTTTGACGTCCTCTAGACCGCTAATTATGGTGCAAATGCGGTCAATTCATGGTGCAAATGCGGTCAATATAGACATCTTTTCTACGTCAAATTTCAACTTATTTTAGACACTTCCGATACTGCTTCTATTCTTTGCATATTAAAATTATAATTCTTCTAGTTCAAACCTGCAGCTGAATCTAACAAAACTAAGGTCATTGTAGGCCAGTGCCAGTGACGGCCTATCATATATTCTCCTGCTACAAGGATGTAGCAACCGGTAGTCGCACAACAGTCTTAATTTTGACCCTCATACCACACCATAGTTTTCTGGTCATTGACAGGTTATTTTATTTTGATAGTGGTCTTTGTTTGACTTCTTGTTTCAAAATTTGAGAAAGTCATTACATTTTTTAAATCTACTTCTATAATTTTGGACTATAAAATGAAAAGTTTTGGATTTTACAAAAAAAAATCTAATTACTTTGTGTTCTTTTTTTGTTGTTTAATTTCGGTTCTGGTTCCTGAAAAAAAATCTAGTTCCTGAAACCTGTACAGACCTTTAACGCTCAAGACTGTGCTTGAATTTAAAAACATTAAACCTGACAGTTTATCTCTAATTTTAACTGCATTTGATCTGTCGGTTGTAGATTTTGGGAAATGACTTTTCTGACCCAGACAGCGGTATATGTACACGGGTTCTGATTATTTACAGTGCGAGTGGAGGCCCGTCTTCATCCTGTGGGTCAGAAACATGAATGAGAACCTCCAGTAGTAAACACATGTATGTAAACATTTTGACACAGTGCTCCTCTTCCTCGGTGTAGAAACAGGAAGTTGTGAATTCAGACGGACGACTCTCCTTCTTTATAAATCACATGGATGGATGATTTGTTGGTTCTGACTGTTTCATCAAAGGTCGGGACGCCTCCAGGCGGCTCAGAGTCCCGGTAAACGGACTGAGAGTTGAACTTTAGCCTGTGTGTCGCTGGGCGCCGTTCTTCCAGAACATTGGTTCCTTTTCTTTCTTTTTTTTTTTTTAAAAGCCACTGATGTGGCAGTACGCCTCCAGGCTGGAGAACAGGATGTAGAGGAACCAGAGGCCGAGGAACAGCAGGCTAGTTAGGAGGCGGGGCACTCTGGGACCGCCCAGCTCCCCGCCGATGGAGGGCCGGCGCCTGAAGAGGAGCACCGCCATGCAGATGAAAGCGAAGATGGTGAAGAGAGTGACGGAGAACGCCAGCGACCCCGGGTCCACGTTGAACGTCTTCCCTTTGATCCTCCAGTAGACGGCCGCCACTGACCACGCTACGCCGATCCCCAGGAACACGTTGACGGCGTTGCTGCCCGTGACGTTTCCGACAGACGCATCGGCGTGCTGGTCCTGGATGGCGGCCACTTTGCTGGCAAACGTATCTGCAGGAGGAAAAGGCGACAAAATTTAATTACTGTATTTATTCATGTATAATACGAGTATAATTCGAGTATAATACAATCATCATTTTTGAGCTTAAAAAGCAAAAATTTGCATACAGATACCAAAACACCAAAAGATGCAAAAGCTAACTACTTTAAATAGTAGCTAAAATTAGCAAACGTAACTAAAATGCACAAAATTGATGGCAGAGCTAAAGCTAACAAAACAGAAGCTAAAGCAAAAATTAGCAAACAGATACTAAAACACAAAAACACGCTAAAGCTAACTATATTAAACAGTAGCAAAATTTAGCAAACGTAACTAAATGAGCAAAATTGATGGCAGAGCTAAAGCTAACAAAACAGATGCTAAAGCAAAAATTACCAAACGGATACTAAAACACAAAAACATGCTAAAGCTAACTATGTAAAACAGAAGCCAAAATTAGCAAACATGTAACTAAAACATACCAAATTGATGGAAGAGCTAAAATTAGCAAAACAGTAGCTAAAAACAGAATAACAGATGCTAAGGCTGAAATTTGCAATCTCATTCTAAAACATCAAAAAAAATGCTAAAGCTAACGTGGGAAAATAGCAACTAAAATTAGCAAAACTGACAGCAGAGCTAAAATTAGCAAAATATTAACTTAAAGTAACAAAAAAATGCTAAGGATAAAATTAACAAAAAAGACTAAAACACCAAAACATATACCAAAACTAACTATGCAAAACAGTGACTAAAATTAGGAAAAGTAAAATTAGCAAAATTAATGCCAATTAGCAATCTAAAACTAAAACACCAAAACGTGCTAAAGCCTACTAAGCCAAACAGTAAAATAAAATGAGCAAAAGTGATGGCAGAGCTAAAATTAGCAAAACATATTTCAAGCTAAAGTTAGCAAAATTGTAACAAGCAGTAAAACAGATGCTAAAGCTAATATTAGCATGCAGATGCTAAAAGTAACACAACTGCTGAATGTAAGCTCTGTTGAAAAGTAGCTAAAATTTGCATAACTATAGTAAAAACCTTAAATAATCAGAACAGTAGCTAAAATCTACAAGTAGCAGCATAAAACCATAAGATCAGCAGTTCAAAGCTAAAAGTGGCAGAAATGTAAATAAAAGCTAAACCATGATGCTGAAGCATGTCGATAAGACGTGTATTTAAAAAAATATATAATTAAAATTTGATAAAGTAAATGCTGACTCAGCATTCACACAGTTTTAATTTGTGCTCCCTCCAACAGGTGAGGGAGGGGCTTTGCTCACCTGGAATCGAAGTTCCCAGCGCCACGAACACCACAGCGGTCACCGTGTCCCGCAGCCCCACCGTGCAGCCGAAGTGTGACGCCAAATCCCCGATGACGGCCGTGAGGAGACCGATGGAACTGATGGACACGAAGAAGCAGGCCCAGCCGTTCCAGTACTCAGTGGGCGGGACGCAGGCGAACAGAACCTTCCAGAAGACAGTGAGGAAATGCATCACGTAGTCGTAACACGACGGAAGGCGCTCCTCACGTCCCTCCTCATCGTCGTCGCCATTTCCTGGAGGAGGTTCAAGGTCAGAGGTTAAGACCCAGAGATTAAATAATGAGCTTTGGCTGTTGTTTTGGAGGAAGACTTGTGACTGGATGGAGTTTCGGCTGTTGTTTCGGCTGTTTTGCAGGAAGCGTCTCGTTGTGACAGCTGTTTGTTTGTAGGACTCACCTGCTCTGACCGTCACCGCCTCCACAAACTGTTCCCTCCAGGAGTGCGTGCCGATCACCAGCGCCAGGTTGGTCTTCTTAATGAGCTTGTCGACGGTGCTCTGCCAATCAGAAGAAGAAGAAAACCCTTCATCAGCAGCCAGCCGGACCGAAGAACAGGTGACGGAGCCGCTCAGGTGAGACTGCTGTCGTCACGCTGCGTAGACTCATTAATCCTGCTGCGACGCTTCAGGTGTGTCACCACTTTACTGAGTCCAGAGGATTAGTCTACACCTACAGCTCGTTTCAGCTACAAAAGACTAACAACAGTCTGATCTGACATGTACTTCAACAAACTATCTATTCTTTTAGCTTCTGTTCGACCAGTTTAGCTTAGCTACAGTTTTTCTACATTTAGCCTTTTAGCAAAATTGTGCTTTTAGATTTTAGCTGCAGTTTGGACAATATGAGCCTTTTTTGTATAGATTAGCACATTTTAGCATTTAACTGGGGATTGATACACTTAGCTTTTAGCTTCTGATTTGTGAATTTCAGCTATTAGCTATAGTGTTGCTAATTTTAGCTGTAGCTATGGCTACATTTACCTTTTAGCAACAGCTTCCTATATTTATCTTTGATCTAGAGTTTTGCAAATTTTTGCTTTTAACATTCATCCACATTTTTCCTATTTAGCTTTTAGCTACTGTTTTGCTAATTTTAGCCTCTCTCTGGGTTTTCAACTTTTCGCTTCGCTTATTTGTGTATTTTAGCTATTAGTTGTAGTTTTGAAAATTGTAGTTTTAATTATGGCATTATTTAATTTGCAGCTGTATTTCTTTATTTATCCTGCTACAATTTATCCAATTCTAGCTTTTTGGTATTGTTTAGCACATCTTAGCTTTTAGCTGGGGCTTGATACATTTAGTTTTAAGATTTCGATTTGCAGATTTTAGCTATTAGCTATAGTTTTTTTAAACTCTAGCTGAATCTATGGCAACATTGACCTTTTAACGACAGTTTTTATTTATTTACCTTTGAGATACAGTTTTTGCTCATTTTAGCTTTTAACTGGGTTTTGGTAAATTTAGCTTTTAGTTTTGATTTGTGCATTTTAGCAACTAGTTACAACTTTGTTTTTCTATATGTATCTGCTGTTTGGTTAAGTTTTAGTAAAGATTAGCAAACTTTAGCTTTTAGCTAGGTTTTGATAATTTAGCTTTTAGCTTATGATTTGTGAATTTTAGCTATTAGTTATGCAAATGCTAGCGGTAGCTATGGTTACACTTACCTTATAGCCTTAGGATATTTGTTTTTATCTACAGTTTTGCTAAGTTTAGCTTTTAGCTGGGTTTTGATAATTTAGCTTTTAGCTTCTGATTTGTGAATTTCAGCTGTAGTTTTGAAAACTGTAATTTTAATTACAGCTTTATTTAAACTGTAGCCAATATACTGTATTTTTATTTAATTACCATTTTGCTAATTTCACGACTTTTTTTAACGTTTATCCACATTTTTTTCGACTTGTCTTTTGGCTACTGTTTAGCTGATTTCAGCTTCAGTTGCGTTCTTTTCATTTTCCAGTAACTTCCAGCTGACAGTTGTGCAGAAAAAGTATTTTGTTCTCATGTAAACATCGTTCATGTCTTTATTTTGTGTCACTCTCACATAAAGCTGAGCAGAAACGGTTCTTTGTAAAACAGTTTTTATCAAGTTTAAACAGATTCTTCGGCTGATACACAAGCTGTAATGTTGGGGTAAATTCTAACAACAGTTTCCTTGAAATCAGCTGAAGCAGCAGCAGAATGAGGGGATGTAAAGCAGTTTGAAGGCTGCAGGGGGCAGACAGAGGCTCGTATGGAGCTGTGTGTTTCTTTATGAACTCACCAGAATCCTGATCTGAATCCAGAGAAATTAAAAAAACTCGAGAACATTTTAAACTGAGACTTCATTTATTGAACTTTTTATTTAGCTTTAATTAAAAACGATGCCAGATGTTTTCGGAGAACTTTACGATGACAGACCTTGAACTCGTACGACTCCTCGATGACCACCTCCAGGCGGCTGTGCTCCCCCAGGATGGGCTTCCCCATCTCAGCTATCCTGCGGGCCTCCTCTTCCTCAGCGCTCATCTGCCCCTCTGCTCCATCTGTGAGGAGGAGGAGGAGGAGGAGGAGGAAACAGAGACGACCAGAAGGCTCAAATTAAAACACACGTCATGTCTGAATGAGGTTCTTCTGCTTTAATAATAAATGTTGAGTTTTACTGAGAGCTGCACTGCATCGCTGAATCTGAAACGTGCTTCAGAGAGTATAATACAGGAGGAAACTGTGTGTGTGTGTGTGTGTGTGTGTGTGTGT